CAGACTGAGACATTGCTGGTATGATCACCCTTGGTAGCTTTTCTTTTCACAGTGGACTTTTCAGTGACAGAGGACCTGGGCTGGGCTGTGTGTCCCTACTAGGGTGAACCTGCGCCGTTTCAGTAGCAGTGCTGTGGCTCTGTGCAGAGATGTCACTTACTATGGAAAGTGAAACCTCGTGACAATGAAAATGATAAATAAAAATAAAAGGAAGAGCATCCTAAAGAATCCATGTCAACAGGAACCTGGAATTCTAACGTGATCACATTTCCATGCCTTTCCAAAAGAGAACTTGGATGTTCCCCAAGGCAGCGATACCTTTGGGAGACAAGGCTAGAGAAATGGGGAAGCATGGCAGTATTCTCAAATTTCAGAAACAGATTGAGATGTCCAAATTTTAAATATGGTAGCTGGCTGCATATCTTTGACTAAACTTCCTTCCTTCCGTGAAAATATCAGGACAAGTACATGTTCCACAAAGTTCACTTCTGATAGACACTGTGCCAGGTTTGTTTTCCAGCTTTTCACTTTCCTGAACAAGGCTGATGTGACTTTTCTTGTACTTGTCCGGTTATTGTTTTTAGGTACCTGCTGGAAGATTCCACTCATTCTGTTAGAAATGGTGGTAGGAGGGAAAGCTGGTGTACTTGGTGAGGGTGAGATTTAAAACGGAATTCCAAAAAGGCAGGAGCAAGGGGTGGTGAAGACAACTAGAGACAAATAGAACAAGAGCAAGGAGAGAGAAATTTGAAAATTTTAGTGGCGGTAGCTGTTTTTGCTTTATACCTACACGTGGGGAACTGAAACCATTCCTTCATAAAGTCCTATCTCTTGGCTACATTCGTAATTCTCTGGCCTCTCCGGTCACTGCTGTTTCCTGTTCTCTTTTCACTAATTAAAAGTAGGCACTGTGCAAGTTCTTTTCTCTCCTGGGACCCTCAACTGTCTGTGCCCGTGACTTTAGCTATCATACCTTGGAGAGGCCCGGCAAATCCCTAGGTCCCATGCCAGCCTTTCTCCTGAGCACCAGCACTGTAGTTCCTTCTGGGAATTCCCACTGGCATGTTCAGCAGAATTTCCATCAGCAGGACTTGAGAAGTTTGCTGAATATGACTAACACTCATGGTTGCTTTTATGCAGAATGGAGGGGCTGATGGACTGCAGGACCATGGACGAAACAAGAGTGAATCCACTGGCCTCTGTCATCACCAAGAATGTTCTGGTTAGGAGGCAACAGTGCAATCAGTCATGGTGGGCTCTGGACCAGCTACTAAGAGAGGGAGCTCCCATCTACAGAAGACTCTGAAAGTACACCAGTGGAATAGGACATGCCAGTGTCGGGGTGGGCTGAAAGGTAGTGTAACCACTGTGGAAATTAGTATGGAGAGTCCTCGGAAAACTAAAAATTTCTCTAAAAAGAGAAATTTCATTTGACCCAGCTCTACCTCTCCTGGGTATCATCCCAAAACTATTAGTGATCATATTATAGTGACACATGCATACCCATGTTTATAGCAGCCCAAATCACAATAGCTAAACAATAGAAACAGCCCAGATGCCCACCAGCAAATAAATGGATGAAGAAAATGTGGTACAGTGGTAACTCAGTTCATGAAATCAATTCTTTCCATGATTTGGGTCATAAGCTTAATCAGTCACAAACCAAACCAAAGTCAGTGGTTAGGTTCAATTTTGACTTTATGGGGACATTTGATTCAGTTCGAGACCAATTTGGTTTTCAACCAGAATCATGGAAAGAATTAAGTTCGTGAACGAAGAGACACCATAGCGTATTATGCACCATAAGGGAGGATAAGTGTGAGTTGTTTAGAGAAAATGGATGAAGCTTGAGACCATCATGTTAAGTGAAATAAATCAGACAAGGCTAAATAGAGCATGGTTTCTCTTGTATGAGAAACTCAAAATGGAAACAATTTAAAAAGAAAACAAAAGGAGATGGCGGAAAACAGGGAAGAAAATTTTTTGGAAATGCAGAAGGTGATATAGGGAATGGGGGAAAGGAGGGTAGTGGAAAAAGAGGATCCAAAATGATCACAATGCAATATATATATATGTACCAATTCTCCAAAATGAATATAATTATCATATGTCATGAACATTTTTTAGTTTTTAAAACACAGGACTTTGATAGGTGAGAGGTAGGGGTAGAGAGAGAAGAAAACATTCCAGTGGGAACAGAAGTCCAGAAAGATTGCACCACTCTCCTGCAAGAAGCGGCAGACCCAAGGGGCTTCTCCACTAGCCATGGTGTCCTTTCTGTCTGTCTTCTCACCCAAAGGAGGCTACGCTGGGCACCGACATGCAGAGAGCCTCCTCTTCAGCAAGCAAGTAGGAGCCCTTGAAGGTACTGAGCGGATGGGGAACATGTCAGGCCCTGATAGCTGGGGGCGGGTCTCTTGCAGGTCAGGGTCAAGTTCAAATCTGAAAATTCTCAACAGTCCACTGGATGTTCAGATGTGGGACCCAGGAGAAGCACCTGCCCAGAGGAGACCAGACTAGTACAGAGAGGCTACAGAGAGGAAGCATGGCAGCAAAACCTGAACAGCCACATTCAGGTGGCCAGAGAAGGAGCTGAGCAAGTAAGGGCGACCAGAGAAGGTTGTCACAAAGGCGGGAGATCTGGAAGAGGGCAAAGAAATGCAAGCCAAGAGAAGAGTGGGAAAGAGGCCCTTTGAGTGCTGCACGTGGCTGAGCAGGAGGGAGAGACCTGTTGATTCTAAGGCAGGCATCGCCTCTGTCATCACCCGCTGGTCCTCTCAGCCAGGTCCTCCTCCCTCTCTCAGCCTGTTCTCAGCAGGGGCTGGAGCCCTGCACCCACAAGCCCCATCAGATCCTATGACTACGCTGTTGGCACGCCAGTCCCACTAACTCTGTTCATCTCCTTTGTCTGTGCCTCAGTGTTCCTCTTCCAGACAATCTGTGACATCCAATGACACTTCCTGGGTCCCTGGTATTCCTCTCCACTCGCTCCTGTGCACTTGTGCTAGGCAACTTTTTCCATTAGTGTCCCTTGCTCAAAAACCCTGGACAATACCTGATAACCTACTGCTTATAGGTCAGAGTCCTCACCAGGGCAATGCTTTTTTCTGTGGTGAGCCAGAGCAACCCACTTCTACGTCCTCGCAGGTTTTCGCTCTTGTACAACATTGGGGTTACACATTCAACTCTGAATGAATATTCATAGATATTCAGAGTATCTTAAGCCATTAAGATATTCTAAGGCTACCCGTATGGGCCAGAATGGAGGTCATTACTGGGAGGGGTGTATACTCTACTAAATCATAGGAGCTCAAGACAGGAAGGAGACATTGACCCTGAAGAAAATGGCGTCCTATCATGGACTTCCTGGGGCTGTGTTACAGTTTATGTCTAGATGTCCTCCAAGAGCCTCATGTGCTCACTGGTGGTAGGGCTTTTGCAGGCTGATCTGGTTACAAGGGCTGACACCTGGCTGTTAAGTGATGGAGTGTGGTCAGAAAAGGGGGTCTCTGGAGTCGTGGCCTGGAAAAATGTATCTCTTCCCTGGCTTTGACGATCATGCTCTGCTTCCTGGTCACCATGAAGTGAGCAGCTTTGTCTTCCACGACAGCCCTCCATCATGCCAGCTGTTCCCTAGAGCCAAGTGACTATAGACTGAAACCTCTACAGACTCTGAGCCAAAATAAAACTCGCAGCTGTGGGTGATGGGTATTGTGACTCAGTGACAAGACAGACTGGATTTGAGTGTGGACACTCGGAGAGGCCTCCTGAGTGTTAGCAGGAAGAGGCAGGCCAGGACTCAAGAGGGGCAGCAATAACTGGGACACAGGTTGAAGGTGAACTCTACTATCACATGTCTTTCTCCACAAACTGAACACCAGGTACAAGCCAAGCTTGGAGCCCTGTGCGGGGACAGTGTGCTGCTTGCCCTTAGAAAAACAGCAGCCTGATTTGTGGCATGTGCCTATTTCTGTGATGTAAATAAGCCCACCGTGGTCAATTTGGAAGCCACCTGGGCTACATTCTTGAAAGCCAAGCTGGGGAGAAATGTGCATCTTGAGCACTGAAGAGCAGGCACAGAATAAGCTGCATTCACCACTGGCGGGGGAATGGATCAGAACATGGGACAACCACCTCACAGAGCTGGACCCAATCGCCACGACTCCATGGCTATCTGCACTGCCATGCTGGGGAAAAGGGCCAAGATGTGATCACATGAACAAAGTCCACATCTCTCCCTGTATTTTAGGAGGCTGTAAGGCCTACAATCAAAGGACCGCATCCTCCTCTTCCTTACCCTACTGCTCCAGCATGAGGCCTGCTCCCGGGAGGCCCTGAACTTGGTGGCTGAGTTCCTGAGGCAGAGCCACAAGAAATATGGTGAGTGGACAATGGACACACTGAAGACAGCCCACATCTGCCACCCACCCTGCCAAGCACCCCCAGTGAATTCCAAGCAGCACAGGGTTGGTCCTCAGTGAAAATGACAAAGCAGGAAATTGATCTCTAATTCTCTGTGCCCTCTGACCAGCACTCCTGCCCACCTCCAGGGACCTGTCCCCACAGCTGGGTCTCAGGCCTGACCTCCATTCTGACTTTGTACCTTTGCTAAGGGCCTCGGCAGCTGCACTGAGAGGAGGTCAGGACCTTGGCACCATGGGTAAAGTGAAGAGTTCTCTGGTTTCTCACATGGGTTCCCCTATCCCCACCTCCAGAAAAGGTAACATTCTCTGGCTTAGGGTGCCACCTTTCAGAACACAGATTCTGGCCACTCTTAGGGACTTCTACATGCAGAGGCTCCTGGCTGAAGCTCTGCAAAGGGGCATGAGACAGAAAATGGGCACGAGTTCATTATATTGCAGGGAACATGTGCCTGTCCTCCTGGGGCTCCCACCTCGCACAAAAGCTCACACCCTCCCAGAATGAGCAAAGCAAGCAGGACACTCCCAGCCCTGCCCCACTGTGACACATAAGTGCCTCCATCACAGAGCCAACAGCACTTCCATGATCAATGCTTTATTTTCTTGAGCTCCAGTGTTACACCTATAGCAGCATATCAAATACGCCCCCCACGCTCACACACACACATCAACATATATTTACCCTCTGCAACGAGCTGACAGCGACCGCAAAGCAGAAACAATCTTGATCTCAAGCATTTATGACATTGAAGAAATGACATTTGTTCACCCTTTTTGCATACGTGGAACGTCTCACAGGTAGGGAGCAGCAGTACATTCACAGTTCACGGACACAATCATCCTTAAATAAATACAACCTTATGGACATAACAAGGTGTTGGAGATGCAGCCTCCAGGGTCATAGGAAGATAGTGCTTGGAATAAGACATTAGCATTTTTATAAAAACCAAACCACACAAGAAGCTAGGAAGCAGGTAGAGTCAATCCAAAGCTAAGAAAAAGAGTCATGGATAGAGAATTTATCCCATTTGCAAAAAAAATGTTTTATTTGAAAATTCCAATGTACAAGTGGGTGAACCTCACATCACCATCTGAGAACTTGTGCAATCACACACACACTGTCAGCGTACCAGTACTGGGTTCCCTTGGCATTACCTTAGCAGTAGATGTTGCTTCAGAGATGTTAATGACCAAGTATGTGCCATGATTATTTTAAGTGGGCCACTGGACAGGGGTGTTACTTTCCTGTTCAGCATTCTTCAATGTCAAAATTATAACCTGCAAGCTATAGTCTGTGTGGGGCAAACAATACCACATTTCAAGCTAGAGATGAGAAAGGTAAAATTAATAAACACTTATCTACTGGGTGTCTCGAAACTGTCACAAGCTTCTGACACTAAACTGATCACTAAATGTCACAATGACTATGTGGAGGCAGGCAGGACAGGTGGGACCCCATGCTGACCCAGCCACCATAACCAGGAGGAGGAACCCAGGACTCTGAGTCTGAAATCCAGCTCCTTGCCTGTTTTGTATCCTCTGAATCAAAGGGGCTTTTCTAGAAGCTGCATCTCTGCTGTAAATACCATGGAGAACAAAACCCTGTGGGAAACCAGGAGCATTTATAGCAAGGCAGTATATCAAGAGGATAAAAAGGGATGGGTGGAATAATTTTTCAGGATTTAAGTTCTACTTTAGAATCCATAGTTTGATTTTCCCCTCCATCTGCAGAAGCTAGCACTGCATATATAACCCTGCCTCAGGACACGGTCAGAACAGGTAAACATTTCCGGCAATAGCATGATCACCAGCTTCCTGCCTGATGCAACTAGTACCCACAGTGGAGAGCAATGGGGTGCTGTCCCAAAGTGGGACAGTTCAGCAGCCATCCCGCAGCCCATCATCAAGACCCTGCTCACAGAGCACACACAAGGTACCAGGGTGGCCCTCCTATCCTTGATCTGAAAAAGGAAGTCAACTATTTCATTAGAAACTGCTCATAGCTACTGGGACCAAAGACCACTAGAGATAAGATTTCTCTATGTGCAACCTAAGTTTTTCTCAGGCAGCCATATGGCTCAGAAGAGCCAGCCCTGAGCTGCCCCAGGGACAGGGGCCACACTGGCCACTGTGATGGTGGCAGGTCAAGACCAGGACTGCCAGGATGACATGCATGTGCCTTCTGCTCATTTCCAGAAGGGCTCTGGTGGGAGCTCAGAACAGGAAATGGAGGCTGTCCGGTCTCCCCTCGGACACTGATCTGGAAGCAGCAGGCTTATATTTTCTCTTACAGATAAGGTGACTCCGCTTCAGAAGACAAGGTAGTAAGACCTAGTGATCTCAGGTGACACAGACAAGGGAGAAGAGGTAACCTCGGGCATGGGGCTCAAGGTCAGGCTTCAGCAGTGGGACCGTGGCTGGAGAGCCAACTTATCACCATTCAATGAGAGGAGGCTGTGACAGTGAATTAAGGGTTGGATAGGACAGGGATACAACCAAATGCCAGCTCCATTTTGTTAAGTCCCTAGATCCCACAAGGAACGGCAGAACATGAGGTTATTTAGTCAAAACACAGATAAGCCAAGGTCCCTGAAAATGCCAGAGGCAAGAAAAAAAGGGATGATCCACAAGTAAGTCATAGGAGAAAGGTAGGATTTATCCCAATGACCTACTCAACAAGTAGCCAGACACTGGTACATCCAGTGCTTCCAAGTGTGACCCAGGGAGGCACAAATCCAAGTCACTCACGACAAGCAAGGGAAGGGTCTCAGCGGGTGTAAGGCCGCTCACCCCAATTTTAGTGGGGGCACTGGCGTACAGCAGGTGTGACTCCCGCTGCCTGGACTGTGTGTGTGTACGTACACAGCAGGAAGAAACACACCAGGGCCCGATCTTTGGTCCTGGAATTTTTAGGAAAGACTAAAGGGAATAAGGCACCTGAAGGTGAACTGATTGAATTAAAAAATAGCTGCAAGTAGCATAAAATTATTTTGATTTTTTAAATGTACCTTTTTCCCCATTAAAAGAGAAATTCAAAATATATAATGTTTATTATTACATTCAAGTGAAACTTCCATGGCTGGGGGAGGGCTTTCTACATGCAATTTGAAGCCTCATCTAGCCTTTTATTACTTAGGTGCCTTTTTAGTTAGCCTGACGGAAGAATTCAGCCCTGTTTTTTTATTTATTTTATGTTTTTTAAAAAAACAGCTCGATCAGCTCGGCTGTAATACTATTTATGGACACACACACAAAAACACACACAAATTCAAAAATTTCTATGTAGAAAAATAAAGGATAAACATTATCCATCTATTTTAGACTGTGTAATGGACATTTTATATATGTGTGTGTGTGTATATATATATACATATATATATATATATACACATATACACACACACACACACACACACTTTCTTTAATGTGTTCAGTCACTGCTATTTCCTCTTCCCTCCTGCATGGCCTAAGGAGCAAGGGAAGACACTGCCACAGTGAAGCAGAAAAGCTACATTCTCTGGGGGAGGAGGAGAAACAGCCATTTCTCACTGCCCTTCTCAATTCTTTCCTGTCCACTGCCACCTCGGACGTCCCTGTGGACAGGACAGCCTTCCAGTCGGCGGTCATCCCAGCCTCCCCTCTTTCTAAGGCATCAGGGAGCACCCATCAAGGGCACCCTCAAAAAAAAAGACCTTGGGTGTGAGGCCAAGGGATGGGTGGGCAGGCAGGGGAAGGCTTTCGTGAACAAAAGATTCCAGAACCACTTCCCACAGCCCGTTCCTTTAGTACAGAGTTCGGTTCTCCAGGTGATGTTTGGTGAGGAAGTACTTGAAAAACTCATAGACAGACCAGGAGATGGCCGTGGAGGGGATCTGGTAGATGACACGTGCTTGGATGCCTTTGAAGTAGCCCGCTAGGCCGTTGAGCTGGTACACCGTCCGGAAGGCGTTGGCCATGCCTGACAGCCGACCACTGATGTTGGCCAGGGACAGAGCCACGTTCTCCTGTGTGTTGAGCAGGGTCTTGCAGACGTCCAGGGGTGTGGTGGCAGCTGCAGCAAGGGCCCCGGCCAGGCCACCAGAGATGATGTGGGACTGTGGGTTGTAGTCCCGCCGCGGGTTCACCTGCTCCTGCAGGAACTCGTAAGTGATGAAGTGGATGGACTGGAAGGGAATGTTCATGGTGAGCTGCGTGGTGTAGCTCCGGTAGAAGGCCCCCAGCCCCTCGGTCCTCCACACCGTGCCGATGCAGCCGAGGGCGGACCGGTGCTGTGAGTTGTACATCTGTAAGCGCTGCTTCACCACTGTGCCGGGCGCAGGGCAGGACGGGCAGCCAGCAGGCAGGTGGTTGGTTTGGCCCCACCCCGGGTCGCAGTGAAGGGGGAAGCCAAGCCAATAAAGAGAAACAAGCACGTTAGACACACTGGTAACAGGTACAGAGTGAACACACGCATAGCCCCAGCCTGGGAGGCCACGAGGGCCAGCTCTAGGCAGTCCCAGCTCAGGGCTCCATGTCTGGCTTCGGGACCCAAGCCAGTGGCTACTTCCACAAGTGCCCCTGCCAGAATCTCCAGTGGGCAGGTCCTCTACCCGTTCGGGAAGCCACTTCAGGCTGGATAAGCTGCTCCGATCACCCAGACCCTGGCTGCCATTAATTCTAGTCCTGGTCCCTGCCCCTGCTGCCCTCTTCCATCCTGTCCCCCGCGCCAGCCCTAGATTACACATGTGTGCCTTGCTTAGTCTCAGAGTCTGACTCTCTGTTAGCAACTGTTGCTTCTCTGCCATGGTGTACCTGGGAGAGCGGTAGAATTACGTCTGCCCAAGTTCTGTGATGCTCTCCAAGGAAGACCTTGGCTTTGTTAATTCAAAACTAACTCAACTAGTGGTTCATGGGGAAACCGGAAATGAGGCTGTGCTCTCAAGTCTGTTTTAAGAGTCTACACGCTGCCTGATGAACACACACACTGTGCTTCACTTCACTTTTCAAAGTCAATTAAATTAAGTTGAATCTCACTTTTTTTCCTCCTCTAAAAAATGTAAACAAACCCTTTGCTGACTTACAATAACTAGTCATCAGCTAGGTTCCTACACTGCATGAATCGCAAGATGAAGAAAGCAAAAAGACAAGAAAGAGAAGGAAGAGGATAAAAGAATGGAAGGAGGAAGTGGGAGGTATAGAAAAGGGGACGGGGACAGGGAAAAGGAAGAAGAGATGAAGAGAAAGAAAAATACGAAGAGGAAGAGGAGGTAAAAGAAGAAAGAGAAGGAAGAAGAAACAGGAAAAAGAAGAGGAAGAAGAAAAGGAAAGGCAAAAGGAGAGGAGGAAGAAGCAACAGCAGCTCAAGATATATACAGCCTGACCTCTCTAGCCAAGGGTTCCTCATCTGTAGACTGAACCAATTCCACATTAAAAATACACAGGAAAAAACCTGTATCTATACTCCTATGTACACTTTTTCCTTGTCGTTATTCCCTAAGCAACACAGCACAGCAACCATCCTTGTAAGCAATCCAGAGGCGATGGATAAAGGAGGTCATACCTAGGCTGTTCTTGGACATTGTACCATTTTATATAAGAGATTTCAGTGCCCATGGATTTGGTATCAGAACGGATCTCAGATGCCCCCAGGAATTCCACAAGATGTCTGTAGTAAGTGTGTATCTAGGAATTTAAATTTTCCGTGAACTACTTCCCACCCATGTCAGAGCCTCTTTCCTGGTCTCACACACTGCCTTGCCAGGCATGTGGCACGTGACTGTAATTTCAGTGCTCAGGAGGCAGGAGAATCACCAAGAGTTTAAGACCAGCTTGGGCTACATAGTGAGTTTGAGGTCAGCCTGAATTACATAGACCCTATCACAAAACAAAACTGCACTGTCTTAAACACATTCGTGATATAACAAGCCAAGAGACAGGTAAGCATACTTAAAGACATGGTATCTCTTGAGAATGAGAGTGTATATGTCCAAAAACAGAACAGTGGCACCTCTGAGCTCTGTTTTCCAAATAAAAGTAAGGAAGGCATATGTTCACTCTGGTCCCCCTGCACCGGAGGAGGTAAACCACTTTCCCCACACCTGTCCACCTGGGTACCCAGGAGGTAAAGAGTTCCCTCCCCATCTTGGTGTGACCCAGCATGGCTGAGGGCAGAACAAGCCCCATCTACCAGAGCAGCTGAGGACAAACAAAAAAATTTCAATCTCAAAAGACTCCCCCCACGTCCCCCTAAAAAGGCAAATTTATAACCTATGACTTAGACAGCTGAAACTTTTCTCCAATTCTCCCTTCCAGCAAGGGGCCATTTTTGGGTTGGGGAAAAAGGTTGAGAGGGACTCCAATGCCACCTAAGACCACCACCAAACAGAGAATGACCCAGATAAAGGTGAAACAGAACTAGGCCCCAAATTTCACTATTCACATCCGAGTTGGCTGAAGATAACAGGACGGTAAAAAGCTAACAGGACTCATGTCTGCCCCACAGAGGCTGGCTTTATAATACTCCCAAAATTCAAAAGGAAAGAAAAAGCTAAAAGGAAAAGAGATAGCAAAGCAAATGGCCACGTGTTAACTTCTGAAGCAAGGTAATAGATTCATAGGGTTTCTAACACTCTTCTCTCTATATTCACCTATGCTTGAAATTTTCCATAGTCATCTCAATTATTTAAAAAAAAAATAGGGCCAGGGATTTAGCTCAGCAGCATAAGCGCCTCCCTGGCAAGCTCAAGGTCATGAGTTTGATCCCCAGTACCAAAAAAATAAAATTAAATTAAAAATAAATAAATGGGACACAGGGCTAATGACTGATTGGCTTCTGACAGTCTCCCCCCAAATGGGTCTAACCAGGTTAACCAGGGCCAGATGTGTATGTGTATGAGTATACACATGTGGATTTAAAGGAGTAAATGGGTTTTAAAGGAGTAAAAAGCCTACAAAAAAGTCCCCAGAGAGCTCCAGGAGAGTCCCAGACTCTGCCCAGGGGACCCTGCCACAGGAGCCCTAGGGGCGGGCAAGGTCAAGGAACCAGCATTTCAAATGCCTCACAGAAGCCTGCAGGTCTGGGGACCAGACTTCCTGTTTAGCTCTAAGGGCATCAAGAAGCCTCCTGCCCACCTTCTGCCCCCACTCCGGCCCCTCTACACATCCCCTACTGTCCCTCCCTGGAACCACAGAACATTACCTTCTGCCGGGTTCATTACTGCATCGTGGAGCAGAGTGGCCATACTCCCAGCTATCCCTGCAAAACAAACTCCAGAAAATTACCCTCTGCCATGGGGTGCTCTGAGGAAGTTCCCCGGAACCAAAGGTCAGACGAACTCTGGGCTGGGCTGTTTGAAGAGCAGAATTGCTAAGGAGTGCTTCACTCAGGCGGCACCCTGATGCTTAAGACCCTAACAGGAATATGAGGCACTCACTAGAAACAGGGAAGATTGACAGAGGTACATTACCCCCATTTCACTCTTGCAGAAACGCGGCCTTCTTTCTTGTGGCCAGCAGAGGGAAAGGGCTGCTAACGTTTGATGATACCCAGGAATCACACTGCATGGCTTTCCCCACTGTCTAATTTTCATTCATTTTTGTCCCTTGCCTTGGCCCTACAGGTCAGCTCATTGAGGTGATCAAAGGGGGTGATGGGTGAGATGGAAGAGAAACCTTTAATTTCTTATTCACTGAAATGGGTAAAAGAAGAATGGGACAGGAATCTTGGCATCTGGCAGATTTTCAGGGTGATGGGGAAGCCCGGATTGGTCTCAAGGCTGGTGGCCCCTCGAAGGCTTTTCTCAAGGCTGGCTTCAAGAACCAGGCATTGTGAAAGCCTGAATCAGGCCTGGAATCTTGCTTTTAGTTTCGCATTTGGGGTGACACTGCCTGGTGACTAAAATTAACCTGGGAAGGTGGGAACGTGGGAGGGATGAGGAATGGAACAGTTAACCCTTCAGAAATGCACATAATAGCTCTTGTAATTATATTGTAATAATTAATCCCACAAAGGTCCCAGAATTGTACTGTAATAATTATTCCCAGGAAGGTCAAAGGGCAACCACAGCCCATGCCACAATGCTGCCGGACAGCACTGGGCCAACCTGGGCATAAACCAGTGTGGCAAGGAGCTACAGCACTACCTAAGGCAGCCTGCGCAAAAGGAGAGCCCCGATGTCACGGGCTCGGGGGAACCTCTGGGCATGGCTCTTAGTGACCTTCTCAATAAACGCAGCAGGTGGCCAGAGAAACACCTGCAAAGCAGCCAGGCGCACCTGTCACTAAAGCTGCTGACAGAGGGATACTTTACGGCCCTGTGAATACTACCAAAAGGGGAGCAGGGGGCTGCTGGTCACGTCTAGCTCTCCACTGCTGAAAAACGCATTTGGTCAAAATCAGTATGCTTTATATTGCTATCCATATTCCCATTCTAATGCCCAACAAAACACAATTAAAACCAACCCCAGGAGACAGCAACAGAGGATACCCACCCTGGCCCAGTACCCTGAGCCTTATGTAAGAGCTTCCCCCCAACACGCAGCCCCCCACCACCTCTCTCCCTCACATCAACCACACAAAGCTAATGTAGCCCTCGGTGCAGACACACGGAAGAGGATGGGGGGCAAACCCCCAATTCTCCTGAAGCTGAAAGTGGGAAAGGCCTTCCGCAGTGGCGCAAGTCCTCGGTCAGCCATAAAACTTCTTGACCTTTTAAAGTTTAGTTAGATCTTGGCGTTGTAGAGACCTGTTGTACCAGTTTTTAAATAGTCTCAAAGAAGCTGTCCAGATAACACTTTTTTTTTTTTTTTTTTTTTTGAATCCAGCATTCAAAAGTTTTGTTTCTATTCGGGATGTGTCCTAGAACTGATCATTATTGATTTTTGAATTTTTTTTTTTTTAGAAAAAAATAACAATCAAAGAAGCCCACAACAGGGAGAAATGAAACACCTCTGCAACCGAAGTCCCCTGGGCTGGGAGAGCGCAGGCAGGGGACTGGAAAGCGTGTGTGTGCATGTGTGCGCGCATGAGCGCGTGTGTCTGAGTGGGTGTGCACGCACGACCCCAAAGTTCCTTTATTGTGAGCAAGCTGCCGAAGACGAAGGCTGCTGGGTCACGGGAAGAGGCCCGGGGGGGATGTCGAAGAGAACTTTCTAACTCCAGACAAATGCTTTCAAAATACCATTGGCTAGGTGGCTGTTTCCTTGGTGGTGGAAAACGTCATTTAAAGTCCTTTTCATGTTTTCATAGCAGGCAAAATACATGGCGTGGGCCGGGCCCGCCCCCATGATCATCACGTTGAGACCCCGCAGCGGCCTCCAGAAGCCTTCAGTCCGCATGATTTTCTTGAGGGCTCCATAGATGCTTGTGTACCGGGCTTTGGGATCTGGACTCAAACTCTGCATCCGGGTCTGTGGGACAGTGAGAAAACGAGAAAGTGAGGACGGAAGCTTGGTCAAGAAAACACAGTTCTTCTCTCCTTCCCAGCATGCTCCCCTGCCCATGTGCACACAGGTTTCATGCTGCCCAGTAACGGGGAAGAACAAGGATTCGGGGAGCAAGACGGAGGAACAAGACCCCCACAGTGCCCTGCTATCAGCATGCTAAGTCTTAATGAATCCCTCAGCCTTGCTGAGTCTGGGGTCCTTTGATTACAGAACATGTTTGTTGCAAGCAGCAAGGAAACAATGCATGTGAAAACAGTAAACTCAGGGTTCTGGGTAAAGAGGTGCAGTTACTCCTCAGTGTCTGCAAGGGACTGGTCCCAGGAGCACTGGCATACCGAAAAGCCTTCATCTACAATGGCATAGTATATGCCTCCAGCTTATGTACAACCTTTCATATTTAAGAGTCACTGACATCCCCATCCCTGCTCCTGGGTCACACAGCAGGAGCAAGCAAGAAAGTCAGGGAGGCTCTGTCTGTACTTACATCTGCTCCTCATCACTCACCTTGCTGCCTGAGCTCCCCCTACTATCAGATCAGCGGCCACATTAGATTCTCCCATGTGGGGACTGGGGATTTAGCTCAGGGGCATAAGCGCCTGCTTGCAAGTGAGCTGGATCCCCAGTACCGATAAAAAGGAAAAAGACCAAAAAAAAAAAAAAAAAAAAAAAACATTCTCCCATGCGTACACAACTTCTAGGTTTGCTCCTTTTGAGAACCTACTGAGGTGGAGCAAAGGCAGTGATGCTAGCACTAGGGAATGTAATTATGGCATATCACAGAACATATACTAATTTAAAAAAGGAACCTACAAAGAAAAAGTAACCTTCTCCTCTCCTGATCCACAGGAAAATGAATGTCTTTTTTTTTTTTTTTTTTTTCCATGAAACTGGCTCCTGGTGCCAAAAACGATGGAGACTGTTGTGGCTTATGTCTAGATGTCCTCCCGAAGCCTCATGCAGTCATAGGTGGGACTTTTTCAGAGGTGACTGATTCATGATTGATTCATGCTGCAATGCTAGGATTAAGGGTGCCAGGATGAAGGGTGGGTGATTATGAAATCAGCCTGCTGATTGGTTTGACATCGTCCTAATCCTAATAGCCTGGTAACAACATATTTGTATATACTTGGTACAGACACCAATTATACAACAATTTGTATATACTTGGTACACACACCAATTATACAACAATTTGTATATACTTGGTACACACACCAATTATTTTTTCAAGTATCTTCAGTGTAAGGCTAGTTGCAACATAAGGGACAGAAAGAGGTTTGTCTTCCCCCTTGCTTGCTTGTCTTCTGCTTGCCATGAATTGGTTCTCCATGGCTCCTCTGCCAAGCCACTCTGCCTTGGAACTAGCTGATTATGGGCTGAAACCTCTACAAACAGTGAGCTAAATAAACCATTCTCTCTTTTACTTTGGGAGGGGGGTATACTTTGTCTCATCAACAAAAGAAAAGTAGTTAAGTCAGAGCCCACTCCTTTAAATAATCTCAAGATCACTTACAATACCTAACACAATGAAAATGCTATGTAAACAGCTATTATACTGTATTATTTAGACAAAGACAAGACATAAAAATTTGTATATACTTGGTACACACACCAATTATTTTTTCAAGTATCTTCAATGTAAGGCTGGTTGCACCTGCTGATGTAGAAGCAAGTCTTTTGCAGCCTCACAAATCAGAGCCGTCTGTATTCCAAAAGCTCCTGTTTCAAGCCCTGCTAGGAAACTTCCCAAATCCTTTGGCCCTTAGCTATGCATCACCTCTAAATATTTTTGACATTTTGTTTTTACAAGTTAATATCTAAATATGAGAGTATAAAAGAACAGAAAGGTCTTGTTGTTTCAGACAGTGTCTCTCCAGGTAGCTAAGACTGGCCTGGAATTCTCAGTGATCTTCTTGCTTCAGTCTCCCAAGTGCTAGGATTATAGAAACATGCCACTACATGGGCCTTAAAAGGTCTTGTTCTTAATGTCTTCCTGTACACAGTCTTGTTACTTGAGGCAGGGACCTAAGTTAAGATCTCTGTTACCCTCTCACAGTACTCAGGCATGAAAGACACTTGAGCAGGCAGGGGGATTCCTTCATGTTTCAACCTGGCTAGGCCGTGCCACCCAGATACTCGATCACACATCAATCCAGAGGAGTCTATAAAGGTGTTTTTTAGATAAGATTCACACTGAAATCAGTTCACTTTGAGTAAAGCAAATTATATGCCATCATGTGGGTAAAACTAATCAGTCAGATAAGTTTATGATCTTTTTATCTCTTAAGATAAAAATCCTGAAGTGTCCCACAGAAGAAATTATGCTCTACATTGCCCTTGCCCTGAGTTGCAACCTCAGCAATTTCCTGCTTTGCCGGCCCTCTGGCCTGCCAGCCCCCCCTGAAGACTTTAGACTTGCCAGCCCTTTCAGTGGTGTGTGCCAATTCCTTAAAATAAATCTCCCTGCACAGGAAAGAGAGAGATTTATGTGATCTCTCCCTCCACACCTGGTTAGCTCTGTTTCCCTGGGAAACCCTGACTGACAGGTGGATAGAGCAAACACCCACGTTGGCTAGATCCCAACAAGGGAGCCCCCTCTTTTCCCCCTGCACCCCCTCCCGGAGCCTCCAGCCCAATCATTGGCAGGAGCATCCTTTTACTTCCAAACAAAACCATGCAGAAATCCTAACACATGTATAAAGGAAGGAAGATTTCTCTGATTGAAAATGGGGTAAAGGTCTCTAGGCCAAAGGGTGACTCCTCAAAACAGACACACATACACCCCTCCCCAGGAACCCAGGGGCTTGAGGAACAACATGAAAACCAGTGACCTAAATTAGTGGTCACTGTCACGTTTCACCAGTTACTAAAAACCACAAAGAAGATGGGTGCTCTCTTGCAACTTTTACTTTGCAGAAGAAGGGCATAAAAACAACAACATAAGCAACAATCCACTGCCCTGTCTTCTGATCATCATTTCCTCAAAAAGAACATGTGTAATGCTTTTCTTAAAGTGTAAGGAAGGTCGTGATTGTAAGACTGTGCTTTAAGATCGACTTTGGCTTATCAAGAGCTCACTACTTTCCCTTTCTCCCACTGCAGTATGGTGAAAACAGTTCCAGCCCAGCCAGACACAACCACTGGAGCCAAGGGGGCTGGAGGTGCACCTTGGGTACAGACAGGTCAGTTTCCCTGAACCTTCGGGTTGTTTGACATGATTTCTACTCTAACTCTTCCCAAAAGGACTTGAGGTGGCTTACCTAGAAAATGCATTATAAGCAAACACGACCAAGCAAAAGAGACACCATTACACTGATCACAAGTGCAGCTGAATTCCAGCCACACCTCCATTTACCTGCTGGGAAGTGGAAATGCAGAGCGCCCCCTGCAGGTGGCAGAAGGCCACTTCTAAGAGATGACTTGAAATAAAAGTTTAGAACAAATGAGGTCTCATATTTCACCCTGCTTTGTCTTCCATCAAAAACAAAGCATAAGGCAGCATGTGGTACAATTCCATGCGTGGTCAAGAATCCACGCTATGGCGTCAGAGAGAACTGCAATGACTTCAGATCTCATCGCTCACGGTGTGACTTCAGGCACATTAATCTCTCTCAGCTCAAGAGAACAGCTGAGCACATTACCACCCACTTCTATCGCATCATGGTAATAATAAAGGAGCTATCCAGGGGTTACATGCAGGTGACTCACGCGGAGGCTGCTGAGGCTCTGTGTATGACTTTCTAGTGGGATGAGCCCCACAAAAGTGGGGGTGGTTTCTGTCCCATTCACAGCAGTGAGGGCTGTTTCTGTCCCCAATGCCAAGCACAATGTACTAATCCTAGGACCAATAAACATTTGTTGAATGGGTGAACAAACCATGGCAGCTCAGGAAGCCGAATGCTGAGATGGGGCACCATGTCTCTTAGCCACCTTTGCTAATTAAACATACAGTCCACACATGAGCCCTGGTTATCACCTTTACTCTAGATCTCTCCCTATCAATCTAGGCAGGAGGTGGCCTGCTGAGTCATAAGCAGGGCAGAGGCAGCAGCTTGTCCCTGGGGCCCACCAGGGCCTGCAGAAGAGGGTTGGCCCCAGCCAGGTCCTGGTCAGGGAAAAGTTCCCCATCCTTAGGAGAAGAGCTGCCACAGAGCATCTCCTTAGGGATGAAGCCTGGCTCAGGCAGCGCCCTTCCCTCTCTGGGGACTCCAGCTGGGAACTGCCAGTGTGTGCACAACTGGCCAATGGCTTCAGCCTTCCTTGGGTCCTGGTGGGCAGACGCCAAAGCGCTCAGAGTAGGCAGGGCTGCAGGAAACACAGAGGCTCCAGAACTAGCTGCTCAGGGTCTACCCTCTGTATCCACCACTGACTTGGGAAGGCAATGGCATCTCACCTCTCTGGTCCTCAGGGTTCTGAGCAGGAGAATAAAGGGGAAGGACCAGAGCAGCAGCTGATGATCACAACCACCCACGTAATGTTAGAAAAACCCATCTGTGGGCACCACTTCAACACACATGGATTCAAAACCTTTTCTTTCTTAAATTCATCAGATGATTCTAAGTATTGCTTTGGCAAGCCATTAAAGGACCATCCAGGTCCCTTGTAGTCCCCATATTTTTCAATAACATCCTCCATCCACCCTCAGCCATGTGAGATTTACCACAGTTCCTATGAGGAGGGGGGTGATCAAGGGAGAGA